TAAAAATAGTTTCAGGAAGGGTGATTAACAGCATAGATTGTAGAAGTACTGTCCTTCAGTTAAAATCCTTGTGTCACTGGGCTGAGGGTGCATTCCAGTGGTGCAGCACTTGCCTAGCACGTTCAACTTCTTGAGTTTGATTCCTAGCACCACAAAAATAATCCTTGTTTCACCAATATTGATTATATCAATATGTATAATTCTTTTATAGTTCTTCAGTTTCTTCATGCATAAAACACACATACTAATTTTAGATACTCCAGATAGAATTGTGGGCAGTATTAAACAAGAAAATACAGATTAGTTGTTCAAAGAGAGCTCAAGCACTTGAGTTGATTCTCATTATTGTAAAAGGTAAAACGTAGTTGTCATTCTTAGTATAAGCTATGCTCTTATTTGTGTCCTAAAATTTACTTTTGTCAGTGACAAGGCCTAACTGAACAACAAAAACAACTAAGGAACTCCTTAGGGAGTAGCAGAAACACTGGGGAGTTTCTGACCAGTGGTATGAGTATTTCTAAGAATTTCTGTTGGCAAGAGATGATTGTACAGTGTACCATTACTTCAAAATTGTCCTAGGTTAAGTTACTTTAGAAACAGATACTAAGAGAAGAATGTGCATGCAATTGATTTATTTGGGAATGATCCTAGGAAGCATTGGGAAGGGATAAGAAGTCTATAAAGAGGTAAATTTGTACTGTGTATAACAGGGTCTTAATCTTGGCTCAGAATGTTAGGCGAAAGTGAAAATCATGCTTCAGAGTTGCACCACCTGAAGGGTGAGTGGTGTAGTGGTGTTTATCCAAAAGCCATGTCTGATTGTTTGAGATTGGAAGAAAATTTAGGCATGCAGATCTTTAACTCCTTGAATCATGTGGGGTTTGATGACTAGAGGAGGGAATTAAGTAGAGTCACAGGCACTTGGAGTTGGCAGCTAACAGTAAAAGTTCAGGGTATGATTAATGAGGAATGGATATGGGTGAGGTCCCAAGAGTGTGCCAGACACTAAGGAAACTGAAACTTTCAGTAAAATCAGACATATGGAGTCATTAGGTTAAATCCTTTCCATTAGATGGCTAACTGGATATTTTCTGCATTCATGAAAAGATTTCAAATATTTAAATCTCTCAGGGGCAAAACTTTTGATAATTGAAACTTGTGATGTTAAAAACTTCTCTGTTCATGCTTTCATATGAAATACATCAAAACATGATTTGATGATTTAGCCTAGTAATTATATTTTGGCAAATTTTATTAGGTCAATCTGTTTCCTTAAAAACCAAAGTCCATGTTTTCCTAATAGTATTTAAATTTTCCAAAGTTTTAATTCCTACAAAATTGTTATTGTGCATAAAATATGATTAATATTTTATAGATAAGAAATCACAATCAATTCATTAATAGTGCAAATACTGGCTCTGTAATTAGAAAAAATATGACATATGCTTAGGTTTCTCATTCATCTCTAGTTATGTCATAGCTATTGTATTAACTATTTAATGCATATTTCCATATGTAAATAGGCATTTATCTGCATAGTCTGAAAAAATAAGGCAACTTTTCAATTTAATACATTGATTGAGACTATATGTGCTGTTTTAGTTATGTTTTGTTCAGAAATTATTTTAACTTATTACACATTATTTGTGTTGTAATGCACTTTTAAGAAATATGTATCTTAAGCCACAGAATTACCTATGATAGTTCTGTAATTTGATTCATTCAAATCTGTCAGGAATAAAATCAACCACAATTAAATTTCAGACCTTCCCAACTAGCAGATGTACAATTTATGCACTACTCTTCCATCTTTAGTACTGGATAATGACAATGATGAATGCCTTTAAGAGGAAATACATATTCATTGAAAAGATAGAGCTTCAAAAAGACCATGCAGGTAGGAAGTCCATTCTCTTGCTGCAGGTTTGTTGGGAGTGAGAGGGAATTATGCCCACAACTGCACCTCATGAGGGTTCAATAATCTAGCTAAATTAAATCTGCAATAATACCTTCTTATGAACTGGAGGGGGCGCTGTTAAACACCCCCCCCTCCCCACCCACTCCCTCCATTGTTAGAGCGAGCAAGATTTCTCTTTGGCTTCTGGCTATTACTGAACCTAACTGGGCTTAACAAGAGGCGACTGGAGATTCAGAAAAGACTCAGAATAGACAGACAGACAGAAAGTGGGGTCAGGTATATTGGGCGCTCAGTGGAGACGCCCAACCCTAATTGCTTCTTTTCTCTATCTATTCTTTAAGGCCTTATACAGCAAGGTGGTTGGACTTTGGTCACATGATAAGGCCAGAGCGGACAAGGGAGGTATGAGGATAGGTAGGAAACCTGGAGAACATGATAGTATTTGATGTTCTCAATGCAAAGGAACTCATGCAGAAACTTTAGAGCGACAGAGGTCAATAGGAGATGGGGATCAGGAACTAGAGAAAAGGTCAATTTGAGAAGAATCAACTTAGAATGTTACACATATGTACATGGAAGCAATGTGAGGAATCTCCCTATATAGCTATCCTTATCTCAACTAGCAAAAACACTTTGTCCTCCTTATTAATGTTTATAGTCTCTCTTCAATAAAATTAGAGATAAGGGCAGAACAGTTTCTGCCTGGAAGCGAGGGGGTGGGGGGGAAGGAGGGGATCGGAGGTAGGGGGAAGAAATGACCCAAACATTTTATGCATATATACATAAATGAAAAAAAAGAAGAAATTAAAGTGTCCCAGCAAAGAAAAAAAAAAACCCTTGCTTCTAAAGCCTTTATAACCTTGCTTAAAACTTTTCCTTAGACTCTTTTCTCTTAGCTTAATCGCTCTTAAAGTCTTTTGTCCCCAGGTTTGCAGCTTTTCTTTAGCATTCTCTCTTTAGCTTTCTTAAAGCCTTGGTGCTCAGACTTGCAAAGTCTCGTCCTCTGTCTTGAGCTGTCCCATGTTCTCTTTCACTTTTCTTTAGCTTCTAAAGCCTTTGTTAAAGTTCTTTCTTTGGCTTTGCTTTTGTAAGGTCTATGTTAAAATTCTTGGTGCAGACTTTCTATCAACCCCTCTTTAGCCATTCTTTTCCCTTTTATAATTTCCCTTCAGTAATTCTTTTCCCTTCCAAAAACTTCCCACACCAAAAAGCCTAAAGCAAAAGTACCGAGCCAAAGTCCAAAGCCCAAAAAACCCTCCAAAGCAAAAAGCCAAAGGCAAAAAGCAAAAGTCCCCAGCCCTCCCTTCAGTGGGCCTTTTATAAACAGTGGCAAACAGGGAGGAGCAGAAGCTCTGGGGAGGGGCATAACATTGTAACAGGAGAAACCTGCTTCCTGCTTCTCTGAACACAAACAATTTAGGAGAAACAGCTGTTCTGCTTCCAGGGGTATGCCAATCTCGGAAAAGCAGGTGAGCCACATCTTGCCTTGCTTGTGTCCGGTTCTCATAGGCTTTAATCTGCTCTCCACAATGAACCACACTAATCAGTACTATTAGAACTGGTGTCAGCGTTAATAATAAGAAATAAGTCAGGGCGAACAAATGATTAGCTTGCAAGGGGCCTATCATTCAGAGTATGCCAGGTTAAAACGTAGAGAGACAAAGATATTCAGTGGGCAACTTGATAAATTCAGGTTTACTGCTCTCCTGACCAATACCTCCAGGAACATGAAAAGCAGTGATTTGCATGTTGAATAATAATCATGAACTTACAAATTGTGCTGTCATGAGAAATGAGTTAATGTAAATAATGACAGATATGCTGGCATGTCTCCTTTATCAATTGACTGTTTTTCTTTTCTTCACTGTACCCAGAAATGATCTGACTTTTACTTCAAAGAGAATAAGAAATGGCACCATATTGAAATGGATGGACTAGATCCAGAGATCCACGTAGCTCTTATTTTACTGTGAAATTTTATAGCTTATTTGATATGATATTAAAGTCAAGTCATTGAAGATATTGAAACAGTGACTTCCAAAACAAACAGCGTTATCTATTTGTGTACTTATGCAGACAAATATGTGATCTCCCAGGAAATCATTTAGCGTATAAAATACTTTAGCTAACATGTGCTGCTGATAGCAAACTCATCTTCTGTCTATAATCTTGTGTTGTTTGCAGTGGAAAATACCAACCTCTAGCTATACTATAATATTTCATTTTGAGTGTAAAATGTATAATCACAAAAATTATCTTAAGACACACATTATTATGTACATTTTCTGGATGCTACATTCATTTGTCTTCAGACACTACCTTGTAAAATTCATTGCCTATTCCCTCGCCATGATTTGTCAAACTGAATTTGGTTGGAAGCATTTGGCTGGTAGTTCAAGACAATATTTTATTGAATTCTTTTGTTTTGTTTTCTTTTTTTTTTTTTTGGCAGTTCTGGGGTTTGAACTCAGGGCCTTGCGCTTGCTAAGCTGGTACTCTACCAACTGAACCATACCCTAGCCCATGTTTTGTTTTGAGAAAGGGTCTCACTATGTACCCTATGTACCCTGGTTGGGCTGGAACTTACTAGTTTCCAGGCTGTCCCTGAACTTGGAATCTTATTAGAGGATCTTTAGAGTGCTGTAACCATAGGTATGTGTCATCATACTTTGCTTATTTTACTGACTTCCATTTAATTATATTCCATATATATTATAGCATAAGTGTTGACATTAATTTGAAATTGAATATATATATGAAGAAAATATAGAACTAAAACAATGTACAATAGCTATAACTTAAAATCACATCTAATTTCCCATTTTGGAGAACAAGAAAGGAAAGTATTATATTATCTGAGAATAAACTGTTCCTTTATCAAAGTTTGCTGTTTTGTGATTACTTTCTTATCAGAGTACAAGTGAGAAGAATTATTTGTGTATTCCTTTATATTAGAAGGCCTCTCCATATTCCACGTGTAAGTCAAAATACCTTTGTGCAGAATTTATATCAATCATTTCGGTACTATAAATGATCAATGTCATCATCTTATAAAATCTAAATGAAAGTGCTTTGCTTTTACCTTTAGAGACTCCTCTTGTTTAAAGAGATCTTCAAAATCTTTAGCACAGAGGTCAGGAGCATTGAGAAGTTGTTCTGCTTCTGATAGGGCTTGTGAGACATGAGTGATCTCAGTCAGATAAGTAGAAGGCACATAAGAAATTTCCAAAGGCATTTCTTCAGTCATCACTACCATGGTTTCTTCACGAAGAGTGTGCTGGTATAGATATACAAAAGAATAATTTTTTGAGCTTCCTAATAATGAAAAGTCTTCATTGAGTTTATATAGATTCCAGTCTACAGCTGACAAGGGGTTAAAAACAGAATAAAAAGAAACTAATAATGGTAAGTCTAGTAAAAATGTTATTTATTATTTGTACATTTTCTTTTTCCAAGAAGTGTTAGAAACATTTTATAAGTGACATAGACTCATTAGCATCATGAATATAAGCTGAAAGACCAAGAGTCATTAAGTTGTGAGGAGGGTAGTTTTACCTTACAAAAAGAATGTTTGCTACTGGCATTTAATTTTTAATATCCTTCCTGGAAAACTACATATGAGATTGCTGAGGGTCTACTTTTGCTCTGTTCATAACAAAGAAACACTTCCTACAATTTCTCCCCTTAGTCATGATTGAAGTACAAGAATTACACAGTGGTTTTGGCTAGCATGTAACTTTCTAAGAAACAGCTCCTTATCTCAACTAGCAAAAACTCTTGTTCCTTCCTATTATTGTTTATACTCTCTCTTCAACAAAATTAGAGATAAGGGCAAAATAGTTTCTGCCGGTATTGAGGGGGTGGGGGGGAGAAGGAGGGGGTGGGGTGGGTGGTAAGGGAGAGGGTAGAGGGAGGGGGGAGAAATGACCCAAGCATTGTATGCACATATGAAAAAAAAAACCATAATTAACTCTTGCACTGAAGGAAAAAAAAAAAAAAAGAAACAGCTCCTGTCTTGGTGCTGGTATCTTGCTGAATTAAGCTGCTAATTAAGGAAGTAGATGAGTAGGGATGACTCTCAATTTTCTATTTTAATAAGAATCTCAGAAAGTCCTAAGATCTAAGGGAGTACTACTCTCTTCTCCTATGCCTACACTTTCCTAACTGGTATCCAAGTGCTGGAAGTGATGAGAATTCACAGCTCTGAGACTTTTTCAAGTTTGCCAATAGTGTCTCTTCCCTTAGTCGTTTAAGGGCGAGAAATAAATACTATTTGGCACACAAATTCAGAAAGATGGATAACCTCTGCTCTCTTCTGTCTACTGTATAGGCAGCAACACTCTTGTAATTGAAATTATTCTCCCTGTAACTTTGTGTTGAATTGATCAACTGCCACCTGACTGTTGATGGGCTCAGCCAAGGGCTTTGGTGGCAGAGTCTCTGGGGAATTTTGGACAATAAACATGCTAACATAGCTATTTATTACTGCACAGCCTTTTTGACAAGACTGCACTCATTTTTGCAGTAATGTAATTAAATGAACTTTGGAATCCCAGACTGAATCCCATCCCATACAATGATAAGTAAAACAAAGCTATAAGCTGGTCAGTTTGTCACTTTTTTAATTTCCCTAATATAAGATTTTTATATCCAGTTTTACATGATATATAAATTAAAAAATTCTATTTTTATGTCACATTTATCTATGATGTAGCAAATTCATGGAATTGCATGGCTTTTAAATGACATATCCTTTACAAAATTGGTTTATTGAATATCTTAATCAAATATACATTCCTTCACGACAGACATTTCCTCATGATCAATGGAATGATGATATAAATTCGTTTCTATTTTTCATTTTAAATAATATTAGAAACTTGTGTTAGAGTTTAATAAAGACAATTCAGCATTAAACCCGTGTTCCCCATTTCTCCATTTCAGCCAAATATGTAATTCCATAGGGTTTTTGAATATGAAGTTTTCACTGAAACATTGGGTTAAATACTAAGTAGTAGAGTCAACAGCACAAGGCAAACATACTTATTGTCTTATAAACATTCCATTAGACTGGCGACTATGTTCTTAATGTTTCCAACTTAGTAAGATTGTCTTTCTTATTTGGATCAGTTGGTTTAACCTCTGAGATAAACAAGCATTTTTCTTATAATATTTTACATAATGGTGCAATTATTCTTGTTTTTAATGACATCCATTTTATACCTACTTTTAGAGAACAATTATTTTTGTTACTAGAGACAGAGTTGGGTAGAGAACAAGCTGAACTTTTTTCTTTTAATAATTATCAATCTTATTGTTTTGCCCAAGGTTGTTTTAGAATTAAAACATCGAAATATGTAAAGAACATGTGAGTCTCATTTAAAATATAATAACTGTGACTTCCAAAAGGTTTTGATGTATGTTCTCATCATTTTTCTTAAATGGAAAATAATCAGAAGTCTTCATATATCTTTTTTCTGTTTCTTTCTTGACATGTAGTTTCCTTTATCTTTATTATTGATATTAAGATGCTCTCACATATTTATATTCATATTGGGGGTCTTAAAAACACAGTAATTGTGGATTATAAATAGCAAGGAACTTAATTAAAAAGTTAAATATGATAAAGAAAATAGACAGCAAAATAAATTCACATTTGGCTACTAACGTTGATTTAACAGAAACTATAATTAAAACCCCAATATTTACTTCTTTGGCATTTGTGGAAAATTCCATTTTGATTTGCATAATCTCATTTTAAATGAGATTTACTTCAATAATAATTTGCACTAACTGCACAGCTCTTGAGACTGAAATGCTGGGATTTAGCCAAAAAGATCTAGCATCAGGTGGGATCTTGAATCAGGGCTCTAAGAATGAAAGCAGCACACTGTCCTTTGGCTTCTCATTTGTTAAGCTTTTCTTTACTTGAACACATATGTCTGTCATAGAATCTTTTATTGCACACAGATTAATACACTTTTTTCTTCATAATATTCAACAGCACATCTAGATAAAAAAATATTTTCACCTATATTTCAATGGCAAGCTCTTTTAGGGGAGGTTATGTTACATCTATTTAAACCTCAAACATTTCAAATAATTAAAAATTTTATCTGGTTCTAAAAATCATTTTAAAATTTTTCTTTAAAATAGAAGCACTTATTAGTCTGATTATAAGACCCTTCAAGGAAAAATTACTTATTGTACCACAGGAAGAGTAAACTATTAATATGCATATTATGATTATTTTCAAGAGTGTCAGAGGTAAATATTATAGTAATTGGTGTCAATTCATGAAAATAAATGGACTAATCATGCTGCATCGTATTCAACTCATGCTCAGACTTGGCATGAAAAATCTTCCAGAACACTTAGAACTATTAAAGCTTTTATATTTGACTAGAGCATTCAAAGAAATAGAAAGGTATACCTTGTTACCTTAGGAATGATCTGAATTCAATCTTTGCTCTTCTAAATTACTGATAACTAAGTAATCTTTTGTTCTTGTTTTTTTCTATTACAAAAATACATTAGAGTCCCTATAACTTTTAAGATGCCTCTGATTACATGTGGTACTGGTTCATCTAAATTTATAAATCAAATGCTGAAAAATGTTAACATGCGTTTGACATATTTAATGAAGACAAATTCTTGGGAAGACTTTTCCCCCTACTATCTTGATACATAGTACTCTGTCATTGTATTAAGTGGTGAAGTTAAGTGGTACGAAAAGTAGAATAGAGAAAACTAAGTGGTGATCCCATGAACTTTTCAGAGAAATGGAAATAATATAAAATATCTCTTTAAAGCCACTGGGAAACTGTCAATTCATTATGAGAAAACTTTTATAATATTGAATAATCTCATTTTTGAAAACATTCTAATATATATAATACTTTTAAATATGTATAAGGATATATAATTTTATGAACAAATAAATGACAAAAATTGAATCTAAATAGAATGAGACATTTGGAAGCCTAGTTTACTATATTTTCTTTAAAAGTATATTATTCATTTTGACAAAGACATGCAGGTCTATAATGAATAAATTGTCTTCACTGAATGACTTTCATTTCTGTTTAATAAAAATTTCAGGCAGTTATTAAAAATCAGTGTAATTGGAAGTATTGTGCTCATTTTCTCTTCTTTATGCAAAATCCATGCACTCATATTCAGATTAAGCTTTTTTATTTGAATTTCATTAACTATGCTTGAATAATTATATCCTTCTGAAGTCTGATGTGTACAAATCCTGTCAAACCTTTTGAAAATCAAGTTACTTTCATTAACATTCTTTACCACCTTATGTCATTACAGATATTCATGCATCATTACTAAGAAAGTACTATTGCAATACTTATTCATTTTATTTCTCTCTGTTCATTTCATTTCTAAATATATATAGCCAGAATAACATTCTTCCTTATTTTCTGGCAAAAAACATTATAAAATGTGAAAGATTCATACTGCTTATTTTCTTTAAAAGTAGAAAGTTCAGTCAAGTTTATAAGGATTGACATAGGAAAAAGAAAACTCTGATTAGTATGATCTCACAATGAGTGCCAAAACAGTTTTGAGAATTTTAGCTCATAACTGTAAGTAAGTACATAATTACATTAGACTTTATAAAGATATTCTTTTGGTGGTACGGGGTTTTGAACTCAAGGCCTCACCCTTGCCAAATAGACACTCTACCACTTGAGTCACTCCACCAGTCCTGTTTTTGTGTCAGGTATTTTTTTTTTATGTCCTCTCCATTAATTTTTTTTAACTGTTGTGTTGGGTGGGGGTACACTGTAGCATTTACAAAGGATCTTACAATGTATCAAATATATCATACTTGAATCCACCTCTTCCACTGCTCTCTTTCATTCTCCCCCTCCCCTGATTGCTGGAACAATTTCAACAGGAATCATTTTTGCATTTACATACATGCATATACATTATTTGCACCATATTCATCCTCCTACCTCTTTCCCTGTTACCTTCCACCTATAACCCCCAGAAATTCAAATCCTCAAATTAAGAGAAGCCTCCTTCTAGAGCTCATTACAGTAATAAGGAATGAGGAAATATTTTTATTTTCTCTATATCATTCATAAATGTTATAAACATAAAAATGGAAAATTAAACAATTTAATTTGCAAAAGTATTGTTTCAACTCATGGGGTGAAGCCCCCTACCCCCCAAAAAATAAGAATATGGTACAGATGAGATCAGTATGGGTTTAGATATCTATGTTCACTGTTCTGGATACAATCAAATGGCATGGCAAGACTATTATTCTGACAATATTTGACCTCACATGTTGTGATTAAGTTACTGGGTAAACAGAACATGGATAATCAAAGGACTTCAAATGAATTATTATGACCTCATATAGAAAAGTGGAAAATGAGAGAGTAATTTTCC